GTAAGAGAGGGAGAGAGAGGAGGGCGTGGTGTATGGTTTGGTTTGCTGCGTTTTCTTGGGCTGTTTTTATAATTTTTTTTATTTTATTTTTGTTTTTGTTTTTTTTAGATAAAGAAAAAGAAAAAGAAGAAGAAGGAGAGGGGGAGGAGGAGGAGGATGGGGGTGGGGGCACGCGAGAGGAACCCCCACGCGGTCGTGCCGGCATAGGGTTTAGGGTTTAGGGTTTAGGGTTTAGGGTTTAGGGTTTAGGGTTTGGGGGTTGAGAGAATAAGAAAAAAAAAAAAGTTTAGGGTTTGCACACAACACACAAACCCTAAACCCTAAACCCTAAACCCTAAACCCTAAACCACCAAAGCTAACACAGCCCCAACCTTGTCTGCAAGGGTTTAGGGATATTAGGGTTTACTGATGAGGGTTTAGGGTTTAGGGTTTAGGGTTTAGGGTTTATCTAAGACAAAGGGTTCAACACCAAGCAGCGCCCTCAATAGCACCAACCACAAAACCACCCTAAACCCTAAACCCTAAACCCTAAACCCTAAACCCTAAACCCTAGTAGCCCTAAACCCTAAACCCTAAAATATAATAACCCTGTAGCCTAATAACCCTCGAGGGTTTAGGGTTTAGGGTTTAGGGTTATCTGCGGTGGAGAAGCTGCTTAAACCCTCATAAACCTAAACCCTCATAATCCTAAACCCTAAACCCTAAACCCTAAACCCTAATACTCCAAACCCTAAACCCTAATAAATAAACCCTAACCCTAATAACGATAAACCCTCAAACCCTAATTTCAGTTCATCGACCCGTAAACCCTAATCAAAGCTAAACCCTAAACCCTTAAACCCTAATCACACCTAAACCCTAAACCCTAAACCCTAAACCCTAAACCCTAATAATAAATTCGAGCAATCATCAAACTCTCGGAATTGTTTTGGGGTTATAATCTAAACCCTAAACCCTAAACCCTAAACCCTAAACCCTAAGAGGTGTTTTACAGCTGTGTAAACCCTAATTACTCTAAACCCTAAACCCTAAACCCTGCTATGTAAACCCTAATTTAATTCGCTACACCCTACGCAAGCCCAAACCCTAAACCCTAAACCCTAAACCCTAAACCCTAATTTGATTATATAAACCCTAAACCCTAATTCG